TTATTCATTTAGCCATATTTTAATTTGATTTGTCCGTATATTTTTCACTAACATAAGTTGTAACTTTTATGGTTTCTATGGTTACATATCATAAATTGAACTTGAAAATTTTTCAATTTAGAAAAAAGTCCAATTTTTACATAAAAATGGGAATAATTGGTTAACTTCCATAGTTAAAGTATAAAATTCGTACGATTTAGTGGTTTGAACATAGCCGACGCATTTTTTATGCTAAAATAAGTTTGAAAAATAAAAATTTTTTTCCTCTTTGTAACTCGATCCGGGCACATACTGTATATGAAAATTTAATATGTTTCTTTGTTCATTTGGAAATTCAGCTGACTTTCTACCCATTTCGAATTTTTGAAAAAAAACGTTTTTAACAAACAAAACGGGGACAAAACACGATAAAAAAACTTTATACAAGATAGCAGTTTAAGCAGTGCAAGAGACAGCAGTTATCTACACAAAAATACAGTCTTGAGACCTATACGAATATGGTTCTTGCTGTCAACAGTGAATACAATGTTCTCTCGCGTTCATTCTCGAACGAAGATATCTACTTTTGCTTTTATTTTTATAAGTGAAATAAATTATCAAAAATATTTGAAATTTCTACTACCATTTTTGAGTAATTCGTGATTTTCTAATTTTTCAGTGTACACCCACTGAATATAGATTTTGCATACTGTATGTTTAATTTTTTTAGTACGGTGCTAATCCTTTTCCTAATTTACTCTTAAATTTTTCATTGACATCCGCTTGAATATCTCGAGCAACTCCAATTTGATCTTGTATAAACCAAGTTACACAGCATTTCGCTCCAGTTCCTTTTGGATCAGCATGTGTACGCATTCCATAGCGTTTATTTGGATTGTAGGCAGGTCGAATATATCTTAAATGGGATTAAAAAATAAAATAATAAACAAAAAGAATCATGTTTACCCTCGATTTATCTGTTCATTTAAATTATAATCATTGTGACTTTTTCTATATAATTCGTGTCCTTCTTGACTATCAAGGAGAACCTCGAAAAATCCCTTGTCTGGATTCACAAGGTCTTTAGCAGAACAATCTAGAAAAAGATGAGGTTAGGATATTTTTAAACCTGTACAATACATTTATTAATAAAAATTTAGATGGTCAAAATTTATTGATATCTAAAAATAATATAATTATAACATTTACTGTAAATTGAAATAGTTTATAATAGTGTAAAAGAAGAATTTCAAGCCATTTCTATGTACAATCCTTTATTAACCTTAAAAAAGAATCCTTAATAAAATTTTTAATTGAGCCTTAATAAAACAAACCTTTTACAGACGGCCTCCCAAATGTAGTCTTTAATGGATCCATACAATTCGGAAGATAACCAGTAGGATCCCTTACTCTACCAACAGTTTTATCCCATAACGAACGGTAAGTTGTTTCACGAAGGTCCCCAATAAGAGTTTCATACCTTCTTGTAATAGTGGTACAAAACATATCCCGTGACTAAAAATAAAATTACTTTTTATATGTTATATCATTTTTGTTAAACAATTTAATTACTTCACAAAAAATTCCAGCATTTCTATAATTAGTAGCTCTTCTAGGTACGTAAGGAAAACATGGCTTTTCTGGTGTTTTCAACTCATGTTTAATAGCATCAACATGTTCTTCAGTTGTATATTCTTCAAAAGATTCTTTAACACTTCCATTACTTTCCCAAGTTTTTCCAGCCTAAAATTATAAAAAAAATAAATAATTTTTTTGATACGAAAACGATGGACGAATATTACAGCACATATAATAGGTGAGCGATCCTTAAAACGACCTTTATTACTCATTCTGAAATGTCAAAAAATAATTTTAAAGAAATTATTTTGAAAAGTGACGACATGAAATGGCATAAATAAATAAAAAATTTAAATTTACCGCCGTTGCAAACATCTTTTGTTATATTTTTGACAACTGTCAAGTGCGTAAGTGTGTGTCAGTGTCACCGATGTTTTCTCATAATTCTCATTGTTTAAGGCTTAAAAATTAATGTAAACGGAACCCAGGTAAGCGATTTTAACTTGTAATCAACTAATTAACCCCTTAAAATCAAAAAATGTTCTTAAAAACCGGTTAAAATCATGATGTGGCGTCGAACTTAGTTGGGGAAAAACAACATTTCTAATTTGGCAACACTGACGTCAAATCTAACTGTCATTTTGTGTCTATCCGTGTAATTATATGCATTTCGCGTTTTTCATTTTCGGTGTCCTCTAAAGTGTAAAGTAATTTGTAAGTTGTAAATTTTCGGGGGTGGTTTTTTGAATGTGCGGCGGTTTTTTTTGTTGAACGTCGAAATAAGTAAATAGTGTTAGAAACCGATCAATCCGCGTCAAAAAGGTAGGTTAGGCTCTCTATCCTCCTCCGTTTTTGATGAGGAGAACCTTGTTTTTTTATTTTATTCTCGCCGAATGCGTCATAAGCGCGGCGGTTTCTCCTTTAATTTATCAATTCGCTATTGACCTGTTGATTATCGATCTCTCTTTGTGTCGTTTTCTCCATTGAGTTTTTCATCGAGGCCGTACCCTTGCAATATGGTCAGCTGATTTCCTTGGTCATTTTGTGATTTTAATTTTTTTTAGTTCGCCCTTGAAGATGGATTTACGCCCCCCAAAAAAAGACCTTCTTTGTCATCGGTTTTAATTGTTTTAATTTTTTGATTTTATAAAATCTGATAAAGGTTTTTTGATAAGATTATTTTGTAGTAAAAGTGGAGTGAAAATAGAAGAAATTTTTTGTGTTATTGGTGAAAGTTTGTTAATTACAGCGATTTTGATTATTGTGTTATCTTGAATTTGTATTTTGTCTAAAAGTTACTTTGTGAGTAATTTATTTAATTTAAAAACTTTTCCTAGAAGTGGTTTTAAGTGTTTATTGTTTACTTAAAAAAAGCTATTAAATATTTCGTTTTGTTTTGGTAATAAATCTTGGGAAAGAATGTTCAAAAAACAACATAACCTCATTTATAAGCTGGTCTTAACCTCCTGGTACAAATTGATACCAAAATATTACATAAATAAATATTCATTATAGCGAAAACAACGTTTCAATGCCACAGATATATTTGAACGTTGATCGAATAGTTTCATGCTGATAACATACTTTTTTTTTTATTTATTAATTTAATTATGCATATTTAAAAGTTAATTAAAAGATATATGATTCAACTGGGAAATGTAAAAATAGAAAGTTAAAGAAATAAAAAAATTGATGTGTTTATTATTTTATTACACAAATCCGGTTTTAATTAACACATTTTTTTATATAAAAAGTTAATAACAAAAGGAGAGTAATGTAAAAATATCTCTTTTTAATTACTTAGAAACGGCAAATTTGTTACTTTGAAAGAAAGTGAATAAAATTTAAAAACATTTCCTTCTTTCGTTGAAGGTCCATGACTTTTGGACTAAATTAAAGGTAACATTTAGGTATCTTGAAGGTTAACATACAGTGCGTGTCAAAAGGTTTTTATTAGTCCAAATATTTTATCAGCTAAAATTGCTAAATTATTATATAAAATTTTCAGCATTAATTAATTAATAAGAGACGAATCTAGTGATACCCCGAAATTTAATTTTGGTCAATTAGTTTTTATTTTACGAATTTATAGAAAACATTTTTAGAACAGTCCACCAGATAAATAGAGAGCTCTATAGATATCAGTACGTAATCTTACGACGGTTTATACTGCTCTCTGTTTATCCAGGTGATCTACCCTTAAAAAAAATCAAATACCGTGAAACCTCTCATAAGCGGACACTCAGATATGTATGTGTTAGAATAAAAGTACATAGTTGTATTATTTAAACCTAGTAAATTCTTATGTAAAGCTACGAATTTTCATTAAATACATAATATATGTATGTACACGCATAATTACTAAAGTTATTTAAATATTTACAAATTCTGGAATGCTCCTTTGACGCATATCTAGTATCTTTTGCTTAAAGAAACTAGATGCTCTGTAGTCGTCATTTGCAAAAGCTTTTAAATCGTTAATTACTTTGAAAGCCTCATTATATGTAGTAATTGTGTTGCTGCTTTCAACAGTGTCACACTCGAGATCGTCTATTTCTGGTATCCTGCACCAGAAGATGCATGTTCAATCATGTTTTTAATCACATTGTCAATATTCAAACTCATCTCTTCTGTTGTTGCAATATCGTCGATTGGAACATAATTTTCAAGATTTTCTTGTGTTTGCCTGACTATTTTTCTACTAAATTGAAGCAACCACTCATTCATAATGTCTCGCGTCATTCGTGCTTCTTATTAAATTTCCACGTTGCCGGTAAATCTTTGAGTGCTATATTTTTAAATGACCTAAATGACCACCTTTCCGATCACTAGCAAATATCTTTTTACCCTGCCATATTAGCACAAAGTAAAATTGTAAGCCTTGCATTTTAGGCTGCATTTTTCAGACTTAAAAGCAAGTGTTTTGCTCAGTAAAGCTCTAAAGAAAGGTCAATTTCGTCGGCGTTGAACACATCTTCTGGCCGATACCCAAGGAGTAACGCAAGAAATTTATTGCTAAACTGATTTACGTCGTCTTGATTGACATCAGCTGATACTTGGTCACTTAAAACATAACGCGTCCCTTATGCCATTTTTCCAGCCAACCATTGGATGCCCGAAAGTTGGAAACATTAAATTTTTGTACTATTTCATGAGCTTTCGACTTCACTAAACGCCTCGATAATGGAATGTTTTGGCTACGAGCACGAGAAAACCAGTTATCGTTGTCAATTTAATGTCCGCTAGTTTTCAAAAAAAAACCTTATTTGACTGGTATTGCTTCCTGACTCCCACTGTAGACGAATATTGTTTTTATTCTTAACAATTTCCGTGGCTTGAGTTTTTCCGATATTAAATTTTCCGTACTGACAAACGTTCCTTTTCCGAAACGTTAACAACTTCCATTTTTTCACGCAAACTAAGAAGTTTTTTATTAGGCGCCATTTCAAAAATCTCTGTAGTACTCACTATTTGCACAATAAAACGAAAACAAGCAATAGTCGTGCAGAAACTAAACAAATACGACAGAAAAGAAAGATTTAGTTTCGCACTAAAACGAACGGAAATAGGTAATTCCCCGGTTTCAATATATTTATATTATTTGCGCGCGGCGTCGTTTCATTGTCCCGTTGTTAGAAGTTTACGTCCGGTTAACGGAGTTAATTTGACATGTAAAGATGTAGGCAGATATTTGCTTCTAGAAAATTTGTCCGCTTAATAGAGGTGTCCACAAGCAGAGGTTTCACTGTATTCACTGTACACATTAACCTTTTGAGTAAAATATATAAAGAGAGAATCTCCAATATTCTCCAACGATATCGACTAAAGATAGCACGATCATCGTTCGGACAGATTTCTGAATTTCCAGAATTTCGGCATTTTTACTTTTCGGTAAAAACTGTCGACTGATGACTCAAAACCGTTTATGTACAAGTTGAAACGCGTTCACTGCTGGTTCATCATCAAGTCAATGAAGAAAAAGCTGTTACAAATGAAGATAAATTTCTGTAACAAATTTATACATTTTTGGATTTACCTGTCCTATAGTAGTACTGAGATATTGTGATCCAATTGTTTAGTTTTTAAAGTTAATAATAATTTTCGTAATAATTGGCTTCTTCTGGCTCAAGAGTTCGTCTGTTTTATGCAATATGTAAGCGCAGAAAAGTTCGGAACTACAGAACTTTTGAACCAAAACAGGCCTAATATAGTACGATTAGGTCGGATTTGTTGGATGATTCGACCGGAACCGAATCTTCAACCAAATGACCGGATTAGCCGGAATCAGTATCATGGCCGGATTTTCGTGTCATCCTTAATATTGACTATGAGCTGTATGGAGCTCAAAGAAAGGTTTGGAAAATGCTTTGAAATCGACGGACAAATGTGGTATCTCTCTTCCTCTACCGAAGAGGCAACGGAGGTTAATGAAGCTGTAAGCAGAAAAACTATTATCCAGATGAAAAAAAAACCAAAGAAAAACTTGGAAAACCCAAAAACAGGATATCTCCCAAAACACGACTAAAGTAGAGGCCGGAGAAGAACTAACCGAAGACATCCTCACACTATGCGGCATCCGACAAGACATAATCTCATCTGATTTTTGTTCAATTTATTAATGGATAAAATAATCTAACATAATAAAGCGAAGGCTTAAAGATGGCGGTGTCTACTTCAAAAACTAAATACATGGTAGTAGTAAGGGAGCCAATAAGAGTTGGTGTTAGCTGGCAATCAATAACACCATCATCGAATAAGTCATGAAATATTCCTATTTGGATGTGCATCCCTCCAAGGACCTGTGAAGTCGTATCAACAAAGTGTCCACAATTTCAGGCTGCCCACGACCTGTTGTTTGGTTAAACTAATTCACGCATGTGAGTGGTAAACTGCGGATATACAAGATTCGCAAAATAATGTCATACGACATTGAAATACGAAAAGACTTTTATATGAACAAAACTAAGAGTATGTTGGGAGTAGCAGAAATGAAGACCCTGATGACAATTTTAAGAAATACCAGATGAGACAGAATTAAGAACTCACATTGACGTATTGGTCTCTGACATCAGACACAAATACGAGGTTCAGGATATAGTGAGATGAGAAAGACAACGCAACAGATTTTGGCACAACCACGTCCATAGAATGTTACATAAGAAATTGCCGAAAATCGATCCTATAAATAACTCGTCCGGAACCAGACCACCAAAGAGATAGAGATACAGCTTGCAGCCAATTTTTCAGGAAATATTTTTAAAAAGACTTTTTCTAAGAATACTTATTAACCTGGCGAGGGATGCATAACAATGCTGTAATATAAACCACACTCTAACTCTAGATTAATATATCCGCCCATGAACTCGAATGTAATTGACAACAAGTGATTACTTAAGTGTTAAATCTTGAGTTAAGTCATTTTGAGATTAGAGACAATACGTTAATAATTTATATTGCTGGTGTTGTAACTGCCGACTAGAGTCTCATATTGAACTTACATTTTTTTGACTTAACGGTAATATTCTGTTAATAAGCCAAGAAAATACGTGAATAGATCTATTCAGTAAAGTGCATAAAAGAGATGAGAATCCAAATTTATTTGTTGATATGAGTCAACTAGAATGACTTTTAAATGTAAAAGCTCATCGATTAGGAGATGCTTATCTTGAAAACCAATGAAATGAAAATATTTATGATAACGACGTGATTAACGTATCATGTTGGCAAACGATCAAGGTAACATCACGGCAATTAACACGTGTTATGTTTGAAGCAGCATCATTTATTCTGAGGACAATGGTTCTTAATATTTTATAGTTTGT